CTCACAAACATATTATGAGAAGAACCGTGAGACAAATGAGATTGTTTTCAGGGCTGTTCAAGAACAAGATGGAAGGTGTGAAGCTGTGGTGATAAAGGCTATAGACTATGGGGATCCTTCACCAAAACCTTCTACCTCGTTTGAATTACATGGGTTGCTCCTATGGCTACTGACCATCTGCTAGAGCTTTACTAATCAAATGAGAGCAAACGAAAAGATCTTTCAAGTTCATATTTATGCTACGAACATGGGGATGTAGGACTGTGGATAATGAAAGTTTTACAGTTTTTCATTTGATTTTCCTTTCTTTGGAAATATATTAGTTCCCAAGTTTGTTCCCTGATGTAATATATGTCTTCTGTTAGAGCCGAAATTTAGAGAATTAAGTTACTGTTGTAGCACGTTAGGCACCTTGTAATCAATCTGGATACTGCACAAATTTTGTACAGCAAAGACTTTGATTTCCATAGGTGGTATGAACATCTAGACATGAGTGCGGGCTTTCGTTAGTTTGCATGGTTTGTTCGTACAAAGGAGATTGCCGCTTGGGGATAGCGGAAAGGATAAAGGGTTGGAATTTGCACTTTAAATTTGCTGGATGCAACTCTTAAGAGTTGTTGCATGAACCGAAAAAGTTATCAGTATTTTAGTTTTCATGTTTATATAGTAGGTATCTATAAAGGTTATTACAACTCTTGTAATTGAAAAAATTATGTTTGAATCATACCTATAAAATCCAAAGATACGAAATCACTATATTATTTTTGTATGTTTCACATGCCTTTGATATTTCCCCTATGATCACTATGGCCTTATACAACTACAATGGCCAAGTCAAGGAGTTTATTTTCAACCATTACACTGAGCAACCCCTAGTCTCAAACTTTAACACATCATGGACTTTATATCAAGATCAATGCCCTTCTCCATGATCACTTGGTCCGGAGGAATCCTTGATTCCAAAAAGATCGAGAACTTCAAAAACTTCATTGAGTTGAAGTCCTTGCCCTAGTTGGTTAGGGCTGCCGGGTTTCATAATGGCATGGTGGAGATGATTCGGAGCAAACTTACGAGCTTCTAGGGAGGAAACTAGTAACGTGAAGCTCAAGAAAACTATTAGGAGAATGAAAGGGAGGGTTACTTTGAGTTTCACGGCCATGAATGGAGGATATTGAAAGGGTTAAACAAAGTAATTTTATGTTCTTTGTTTTGAGGATGGGTACTAGCCAGCTTGCATCAGGGTGATTTATATAGCAAAAAATTATGAGCTTGGTTTGACTAGGAATATAGTGGGAAAAGGTTGCATTGTTCAAAGACTAATGAGATACGTATTAAGGAAGCAGGAAAGGAAAATCATTTGGGGAAATTGAATAGTTTTCTTGACCTGGAAATTTGGAGTATAAACTTTGAGAAGATTTTGAGGAATAATTAGATTAGACAAGTTCATTGAATTTGAAATTAAAATTCTAGTCTAAATGTTTTAAGTTTACCAATTAACCAATTCATGTAGATTTTCCATGCATATCTAATATGAACCAATTTGAAATGAATTTATTTTTATTTATAAAATATAATAATATTTAAAAAATATTACGAATCATCTCAAAGAAATATCCCAACTATTAGAATTTAAGATTTTATTTTAAAAATCTCTAATTTAAATTTTAAAATAAAGGTATGGATGAGATTTATGAGATGGAAGACATTTACGTACCTCTTATTTTACATATATTGAATAAATATATATATATATAATTTCTCTAAATATGAATACAGTAATTCATGATTTGGGATTAAGTAGTAGTTCCCATGAAAAACTAGCATACATCCACTCAATTAAATGCTTAATTATACAGGAGAAAGTGTGGTTTTGGGGCATTTTCTTGTAATTTTGACATCAAAATCTTTAAAAAATTTAAATTCTATAATTGTTATTTTAATTTTTGTTTGATTTTGTTTGCTTTAATTTCCATGATGATGGCAAGAAGAGCTAATGCTTTTGGGTTAAACTACTTTTGCTATGTTGGCACAAGTTGAAAGTTTTTCAACATAGAGGAACTCATGGAAAATATTTGTGTTGTCATGCATGATCCAACTTAAATGTCACTTAATTAAGGGGCACTTATTAATTTATTTTTTGAACCATTACATTTTTAATCAATTTAGGACTTAAAAAATAAAAATTTACAATCAGGTACTCAAACTTCGATTTTGTTACACATATTGCTTCATTGACTAAGATAGTCAAAATACTAGCATTGCAAATGTTGATTAATAAAAAATTATCACATGTCATATTATTTTATTATTATTTTTTAAAATTTAAATTAAAAATGAAAAAATATTTTTAAAATAAAAAAAATCATAAATTCAAAAAAAATAGAAAATTAAAAAAAAATTATTAACATTGTTGAACATAACAAATTGCCAATCACTCTTTAAAAGGCTTTGGCAATTGGCACATGATTGGAATTGTGGGCAATTCAACCATGCCATAAAAGATTTACTTCATTTTAATTTTTTCTCTCAAAAGAAAAAAAAAGGTAGACTTCATTTAACATGTGTTTTTACTTTTTAGTATTTTTGTAAATACTAATAATACTTTAAAAACAAAATTTGGCCTTCATAAATTATTCCCAATTTCATTGTCACAATTAATTTTGTTTCCATTGCCACATTTAGAAGGCTTTAGAAAACAAAATTCGTATACCCTTTTCTTAATTTGTTAACCAAATATATTCTTTTATATGCTTTACAAGGATTTGGTATTTCCTCTATGACCTTATACAATTAATGGCCAAATCAAGGAATTTATTTTTAACCAATACACAGTACAACACCCTCTAAATATTATCTTGAACATTAGTGAAAACAATAAAATTTTGAGTGCACCATGAATGATTACATATCAATGTCCTTCCCTGCCATGACTTAGTCCGGAGGAATCCTTCATTCCAAGAAGATCGAGAACTTCAAAAACTTCATCATCAAGTTGATGTCCCTCATTCTATCGTTGTCTAAGGTTAGCCTTCACATTATCATGGTTGTGATGACTCGGAGCCAACCGACTAGTTTTCGGTGTAAAAACCAGCAACATGAAGCTCAAGAACATGGTGAATAGTAGAAAAAAATAAAGGGTTTTGAGTTTCATGGCCATGAAAATGGATACTTCAAAGGCTTGAACAAATTAAAGTTTTATTGTCTTGAGAATGAGTAGCTAGCTAGTTCGGGTGGGTGTGATTTATATAGGAAAGATGATAAAATAGTTGGAAAAAATGTTGGTTAGTTCAAAGATGCAAAACATTAATTGTACTAGTGCCTAGGAAACATGAAAGCAAAGTTATTTAAAAGAAAGTTTTGGAGGGTCAATTCCTTAGAATTGAAGATGATATAGGAGAGGAATGGGATTGGGCAATTACCTTTTATTTTCCATGTAGAATATATTTTTTTAAGTGTTTTCAAGCTAACTATTATATCAAGACCCAACTATTACTCTTATAATCTTATTTTTTCTACTTCTCACTTATGTGATTTTGATGTAGAGTTAACAAGTAGAGGTAGCAAAATTTGACTAAGTTCCTATTTGAATTGATTTGAAAAATCTAAGGCCTGGAATTCAATGTTCACAATAACCCTTAACAATTTGTAAAATTTGTTACGAGTTACGTGCATCCATACGAAGGTTTTTATAAAATATTTAATATTTTTAATTAACAAATAGTATGTATATAATAAAATTATATTGATTAAATATCACATAAATAAGTTAAATTAATAATATTATAATTCAAATCAAAATGATATGTTATTTAAAAATTTAAGATTTAAATTATATATTTTATTTTTTTAGATATTAATTTGTATATTTTTAAAAAAAATCAAGTGCAAAAAATATAATTATCTCTATAATTTTTTTCAAAAGTTTTGAAAATTGGTATTGTGAAGGTATCGAAAATTTTAAAACATGAATATATTAATAGATGTATGAGTGAACCTCCCCATAGGTTGAATCAGGCTGGGCCAAACTTGGTTGGTCTTTCAAAATGCTTGCTCAAGGCTCGAAAATTGCCAAAAAAAGAAAAAGAAATTAATATTACATTATTTTTCAATATATTTTAAAATTAAATAAAAATAAATTTTATTACTAAAATAAAATTTTAAGCTAAATCGAACTCAAATGTCAAAATTCATATTGAAGGTCTAATCAAAATTGGGTTAGATACGTTGACAAAGCGAATAGCTGGATCTGTGAACAAATCTATCAGTGTAAGTATTTGGATAAATTAAGCAGCAGTTCTAAGGGAAATCCAAGGTGATTTCAATCATTGTGGACCAAGTTCAAGTGGGCTCACTTTGGGCTTTATCAAGTTTAAACTTTAACAAGTTAAGTCACATCAAGCCCATAAACTTACAATTTTTATTATTAAATTAATAAAATAATATTTTTACACACAAAATTTAAATATTTTAGATATATTTCAAAATTATTTAATTAATAAAATAAATAAGCTTTGAATTAGGCACAGTTCTAAAGCCAATTATAAAATTTAATATTTTCTCTATCCCAAAAAATTATTTGAATGTTATTAATTTTGATAGGGTTTAAAAAAATTTTTATTTTAATATATTTAATATTAAAATTAAAATTTTTTATAAAATTAAATTTTCATATTTTTAATGTTAAAAAATAAAAAAATAATTTTAAAATAAAAATATATAATTTAAGGACATATAAAAAAGTGAAAAAAAAAAAGAGGGAATAACATTTTTAATTAAAAAAAAAAAAGCTTCTTGAACTGTTATTGTTAGTTAGTGAAGCTGTTCCAACCGCCTCATTTCCCGCCGTTTCCGTTAAAAAAGAGACAAAAGTGTCTCTCTCCTGAAAGGGAATTCTTAATTCTTTCACTTTCTCGAGAAAATGTGAGAGAAAATCCAAGTCTCTCCCTTTCTCATTAACCTTAACAGGAATTTCCATATCGTTTGTTCGGTCCCCCCACAAAATGCCGCCACTGCATACGATTGAGGAGGCGACGGTCGGCGTAGACGATGACATCCACGACCTCAAGTTTTCAAATCCAGGCTGTTGTTGTTGGATGCCTTGTCGCTCTGCCATCAGATCAATCTGGTGGCAACAAATCGGGACCGACGATTCCAACTCCGCCGCATACACGAATAAAAGTTACAAAGAGTCGTGGTGGAGTAGAGGGTGGGCGAAGGTTCGAGAATGGTCGGAGCTGCCGGCTGGACCAAAATGGAAGACGTTTATACGGCGTTTCAACAAGAACAAAACCGGTAACGGAAGAGCGAAATTCCATTACGATCCTTTGAGTTACACCCTTAATTTCGATGAAGGGCCGGGGCAATATGGTCATTTCGATGAGGATACTTTTAGCAGAAACTTCTCTTCCAGGTACGCCTCGTTGCCTGTCTCCACCAAATCCTCCATGGATTTCGACAAAGATGGTCCCTTTCTGCCTTGACTGTTGTCACGGCCATCGAAATGTGGTCGGTGGTGAGCTCGTAGGCATACGTTAAGGTTAATTTTTTTTCTTAATCAAAATTTTGATAATTGATACGAACGGCCAACATGCTATTATTGTATTTTATATTTGTATCATACAAAATATTAAAATTTATATATTTATATTATATTTTATATAAAAATTATATATATATATATGATAAATTATGTTGGTATAAAAATATAAAATATAAAATTTTAATATTATTAAATTTATATATAATTATTATTAAATTTCCGTATTTTATTCAACGTAACTGTACTGTTTTGGACTCATTCTCTGCTTTTTTTTTTTTTTTTTTTAACCATAATTTGAAACTGGGCTGGCTTTGCCCTTTTCTATACAAGAGACAAACGTGTCTTACTCTTGTCACATATTGATATGATTCTGAGAGGGTTATTGATAGTTCAAAGCTTCACAGGATTCTAACAGGCAGGGTTATGGAGGCGACCAATGGAAGTATAATCCATTTTGATTGGATTCATTTCCACATAGGTACCTGATGGCAACAATGGGGGCGGACTTTTTCTTGCCCCGACTCCCCTAAATAGTAGCAGACAAATATTCTCTGCAAAGTCTAATTTTACTCAATGCTGAGACTAACTGTTATGAAAGATTTGAAAGAAAACATATGGATCGGGTAGTTTCCTGCATCATCTTTGAGTGAATCTTCATCCTATCAATGGAGGAAAGCAGCTGCTCGATTATGGTTCATGGAATAGTGACTTATCTTCTTCCTCCTATATGGTGTTGATCATGGTAAGAACTTGGTTCATGCTTGGCCAAGCTTCAGGAGAGCAGGTAACACATTTTGTAGCCACCTGCAGCAGATTCGGCATCCTCTCTTCACTTGCACCTTGTCCATTCTTTGCGAACCACTGAGTGAACCCATGATGTCAAATCAACTCCATCATTCTGCACCAGCTTTCCAGTTGTTAGCTCAAGCAGAATCATACCAAAATGCATTGAAGGCATTAGATGCACTGTCCTTACTTTGTTGTGTTCCTTTGAGGCCATTAACAATGGCATTTGAAGAGGATTATTGAGGATCCACAACCATAAGACCATATTCACTTATGCTGGGTTCCATATTCTTTTTCAGCTTACCATGAGCAATTCCGTCACCATGAAGCTCCTGATGCATGAATGCCAATGCCTCAGCTATTCTGGATGCAACACTAAGTCTGCGGGCCCGGAGCTTCTCGTGCTTCGAACAATAAAAGGCAAGAGCTGGCAAGACATTTGGATGCTTTGCTTGGTCAAGCTTTTGCATTCTCGGATTCAAATCATCAGTTGAAATTGTCCAATCTTTAATTCTTTTCACAGCCAGCACCATCACATTCTCAAAGATGACTCTATAGAGGGTACCATGCTTTCCCCTCCCAAGCAACTCGGCTGGAGCTCTAAGCAAGTCCTCAAATTTCAGCTGACTTACTGCAGGATTCGTGAGAACTACTAGTGAAGATGAGACCAATGTACTTTCAGCTGAATTGACTGAAAATTCTGATCTACTCACATCTGTTTTAAACTTGGTTGATGTAACGCTAGGCTTGTCAACAACATCATCAACTGATGCTACCTTATTTGGGCTCGGAACGTCAACCATTTCTCCTTTATTCTTTTTGAGCCTGCCAAGGATCAAAGCAACAATAGCCAAGCCCGATGCAGTATACCCTGGGAGCATAAGAATCTCGTTCCTGTAGACACCTTTTGATTTCTTTCGAGAAGGTGGACATTTCTTTTGCAATATTACTCCACATAATTCAGGATTGCCTAGGTAACAGCTTGTAGGAAATTTGCCTTTCACATCGGAAATAGGACCTTTGATGAAGTTGTAGGAGACATTAAATTGATCAAGACCGGAGACATCAAATTCAGGTATCTCTCCTGTAAGCTGATTATTTTGAGCAAGGAACATTGTAAGACCTGAAATCCTGGACAAACTTGGCAAGTCACCAGAAAATCTGTTGTTTGTTTGATAAATCAAGTTGTTTCAGATTGCTTAACTAGCAAGTGAGTCTGGAAGGTTTCCAGAGAACTTGGTTCCCACCTAAGAGCAATCGAGTGAGTTGTTTGCAATTAGCAATATCAGCTTGGATCCCACCACCAATGTTGTTCATAGTAAGATTAAGAGTTCTAAGAGACGCAGTAAGAGATTGCACATTGCAGAGAGCACTGGCATTAAGAAAACCTGAAAGACTAGAATTATCAAAAACTACGTTCTAACAAAACTGTTAGTCTTATCATCACAAAGCACACCCTTCCACTTATCGTTGCAAGGATCTGAAGATAAATTCAAATCGAACTCTTATCAGGTTGGCCATTGTTGTTAGACAATCCTGCAAGGAATTCAACCAATGCAGCCCTGGCCTCACCATCCACAGAATTTGCCACGTCAGTGATGAGAAAAAATGAAACAGAAAGTACCCAGATGGAGACTTGTTTCATTTTGGATGCTCTCAGGTTAGAAGTTTGATTCAAAGAGGTTTGCAGAAGAAATGAAACTCTATTTCATTGGTTGGGATTGTGGAACGAGGAGGAAACCTCTATGCTTTAGTGACTGCTAGAATTAGTAAAAAAAAAATGATCCATTGGCTGAATATACAACAAGAATTTGTATTCTTATGTATTTGATTGCACTTATAGAGTTAAAGAATAGGCCACTTGGCTCCAAATTTACTGATATTTTGAAATAATTGAACCGGCAACTACAGGAAAGGTTGGATTTTAAAGGCATGTCTTTTTCAATGAGAATATTCATCAAGATACAGAAAGTACTCGATGATTTGATTTGATTTGGTTGCAGGATGTGATTCCTGCCTTCTTGGATGAATAAAACACAACATTTATCTTAAAAAAGGAATTTCCAACAGAAGGGGAAACTAAAAAAACACAAAACAGAAGTATGAAAGAGATTACTTTATGGGATTGGTATCAGTGACAATGTTCTGCATTTTCTTAGCCAAAGAAAAGAATCCAATGCTTTCTTTTTCAGTGATCATATATTTTTCAATATTTACTTACTACATCCGTTTTTTGGTAGTACACTAAATTTGCATGCTATGGTCTGGTTATTCTTAAGCATAAGCACAATAGATCACATCATTAAATTTGTCAAGTAGATTTTTTTTTTAATTTGAAATTATCAAAAATTAAACTTTGATCACTGAAATTAAAAATATAACACTGAATCAACGGATCACATGATTGTTGGTTAGATATTCATTTCCTCTATATAACCCCATCATCCGTAAAACTTGGATTCGCTTTAAATTTTTGTATAATCAGCAAAATATTTTTATTCACTAAATTAATTGACATTTTCTATTGAGGTCTTTTCTGTTTACAAGATAAGCATATCATCCCAAAGAGATATTTCTTTTACAGGGTAAGAATACCTTGTGATGCCTGCTAGGATTCGAATGTATAACAAGAATGTCACATGAACAACTTTGATTAAAACCTTAAATCTTTTCTTCTCCTACATATTGTTAGCAAGTAAAAAGGTAATTAAGTTCTCATGGAAGAGCTTCTGAAGAAACCTGGTATGTTCTGTTTCCTTTTCCATGTTTTGTTAGTTGGTTGAAAACCAAATTTACTTTTCTTAAAGAGAATATTATGATTCCAAAATAGCAATTACTTTCGAATCAAACAATCATCGTTAATATGTGTTTGATATATAAGAATATGATAAGATATAATAAGATAATATTATAAATAGAATTAAATTAAATAATGCTATTCCATCTTGTGTTTGATGTGTGTAAGGAATATGATAAGATAATTTATTTATTGGTCAAAATTATCCTTCCTCAAAGTTTATACAAGTTAAATTATTAAAATAATTTTTAAAGATATAATAGGACATAAGTTCAATCTTGTTGATTAAACATAATTCTCTCAACTTTGAGATGATTGAATCATCTTGTACTAAGAAAATAATTAGTCCTTGTAATCTTATCTCATTCTTTAGATACAAATAAAATAAAATATAGGACAACTATCATCCTACCTTATCATCATCGTATACACTAAATATGACCTTAATCACTTATCTTTGAAATCTTTATGATCTTGTTTTCCCCAATTACTAGCAATAAGAAAAATGTAAGAAATTTTTGTTGAGAGATTGCCTTCAATCTCTTAATCACATAGGAAAAGTTTAGTAGAGTTATAAGAGTTTTCACTCTTGATTGATTATCAATGATTTGTTTGTAGTTCTTTATAAATAATGTATCTTTTTACTCATTTGTAGATGTAGACAAGTTAAGTATCAAATCACATTCAATTATTATCTCTTGTGTGATTAATTTGTGGTTTGATTATGCTTCCATTTGATTAGATGATTAATTGATCCATATCTTTGTGTCTAACAAATTTGTTTTATATTATAAGTCAGTTGAGATCACCGATTAAATGATTAAATGAAACACTAACTCAATTTAGTAATGAAATTCTTACTGATGTTTGCAGGAATCAAAGGAGTTACAAGAGATCTTCCACCGGCTCATTATTTATTCAACATAGAGTCATTCTCTTTGTTGGTTAACACAGGGTTGGAAAAGTATGAATCCCATGCATTTGAAGTTGGTGGCTACAACTGGTGAGATTTACTTTTTTTGAGAAATGTTTTACCTACTAAAGAATGTGGCATTTAATCACAATGGTTTGCCTTTTTTAGGAGATTAATTTTTCATCAGATTGAGATTTAATTCAAATGATCTTGCAATGTTCGTGACCATCTTTATTTTTTTATACTAAAAAAAATCTAATTTAAAAATAAAAAAGGGAAGATGGGCAAATTTATTAGAATGCTTGAATAAGATTACTAATGGAAGCACTAGTTATGTTTTACACATGCTTTGTTTCAAAGCTCTTTCATTTTCCTCTTACACTCTTCGGCAATCTGCAGGAGGTTGTCACTCTACCCAAATGGAAACAAGAAAAGCAATGGCTTT